GCTACGGGCATGTAGACCATAGAGCACCTTTTTCGCCTCGTCAGTAGCGAAGGCCACGCCGTATAGTTTGGGCAGCATCTCGATGAGCTCGTCCACAAACGCGTCGGCCTGAGCCTGCTCCAGGTTGGTCTTTCCCGCCATTCCTGGGGAGGAGAGGTATTGTTTTTGGTCTCTCTCTCTCTTTTCTCTCTCTCACTCACTCACTCACTCTCTCTCTCTCTCTCTGTCTGTCTGTCTGTCTGTCCCAGGTATACTGGGAATCCCCAAGTAGCTGGCTTGACATCGGAAAAAGTTTGAAATAATTGACAGATCATACAGGCAATTTCACTCATCTTGATGCTTACACCATTGTAAGTGAAAAGGACACATATTTTATTTCATCGCGGACATACACTTTGCCATTGTGATCATTGTAAAAAAAATTAGAACGTACACTATAAAAGCCACAAAGAAATAAGAGGCGTCTAGTCAAGATCTAGAGTTGCACAGGTATGTATCTGCACTCGTCACGGGTCAGGCTTGTACAAATAACGAAAAAATGTGACTCGGCAACTTGTTATTCATGAGAACAGAAGCCCATCAGTGTTGATGGATACCAGCATCACAAAGAGATACATCGGTTGGCTGGTTATGCTGAGTCACTCACTCGTCATAAGGACTACATCTATAGTTAGCATGCAACATTTATCTCCATTGTTCAGTCGGTATAACAAGCTTTCGGCATGACACACCAGCTTCTGTATCTGTATCTGTATACCTGGTATAATCGCCCTTCGGCATAACACACCAGCTTCTGTATCTGTATACCTGGTGTAATCGCCCTTCGACATAACACAACAGCTTCTGTATCTGTATCTGTATCTGTATACCTGTATAACCGCCCTTCGACATGACACACCGGCTTCTGTATCTGTATCTGCCAGTAGTAGTCGGTATAACTGCTTTTCGACTTAACACACCGGTACCAACTTCTGTATCTGTATTGCCGGTATAACCGCCTTTCGGGCGTGACACACTAGCTTCTGTATCTGTATAGCCGGTTTGTAGGCGTATACACACTAGCGTCGCAAGCACGCGGCGTCAGCTAGGTATATTAACGTTTAATCTTTAACTCAAGCGTTTGTATATTACAAACCCCACCCTCTGTCCTACTAGTACTACCACATGAAACAGTCTGTTCTAATGTAGCTCACCTGTTTCCCTGGCCACAAAGCGAGCGATCGGCATACTCTGGCACAACTTCACTCCATCAACCTCCAGGACGGGCAGCTGACCCATGGGAGTCGCTGAAATAAGAAGTTGGTTTAGAATACATTTTCCTCCAAAGAAACCTTGTTGTGTTCTACCAAGTGCATTCTGTTAATATTTAGCCCCGTCCAAAGTGACGGGTATAGACTTTCAGGCGAAAATACGCTTGACTATCTGGCCAATTCTGGTCAACAAATTCAGCCGAAGGCCGTTCAGCATCGATTCAAATTTGAGTCAAATTTGACTCCCAACCACGCCCCGACCACGGATGGCCTACTCCCGCACACCAGCCAACCATGGATAAACCTGTGGTCCACTCTAGAATGTTTTAAATGTTTTGAAACATTCGGTTGGCACACCTAGCCGAGCACCAGCCAACCACAGTCGACCTTGCTCCCGACCATTGTTGGGAAGTTCAGCTAGTGTTAGGAGGCCATTTTTGGCTAACAGGACATTATGCTCGATTTTACCACAAAAAAAAATTAGAAAATAAAAACAGACAAATACTCACTTCCTTTCAGTGAGGGCCACTTGTCGAAAGGGATCCTGTCGTCCTCAAACTCTATCCCAGCGGCAGCGAACAACATTCTGGTGGGCTCCCCGCGAGCTCTCATGTCGAAATAGGACAGCTTGTACTTGGGAGCCATGCTGAAGTGTGGAGCTAGCAGGAGCGTGTAGAGTGTAGCGATGTTTCACGTCAAGTGTGCACTAAGCCAGGCACAGGTGTGCTTATGTAGGGCTACGCCGAACGGTGACACAGCACATCTAGTGGGAACTTGATACTTGTTTGAAGGGGTGATACCATCAAAAAGTAGACTGATTATGCTAAACTTTCGTACCTCAAACTCGAAATGCATGTACGGGTGCAGTTAATAGTTAGTACAGTGTATTGTCTCAAGATCCGGAACGTTTTATAAATGGGAAAATCTGATACTGAATTTGGGACTCCTTTTAAAAGATGTAGTGGCACTGTTTGTGTTTTGAATGGACTCTTCCGTCTGTGGTTGATTCTATTTTTCTTCAGCCAGGCATGTCAAGTCTCTGGTGCTATTTGCAAGGTGTGCATAGTCACACTGGTGCCATTCAGAGCTCCAAAGCTTCAGAGCATGGATTTTTAGACAAGGGAATGGCAAAAATAACGACTTCATCTTGTTTTGTGTTTTAGTTTGCACCCAAACGTCAGTACAACAGGTGCAGTGGGCGTGGCACCAGGTGTCGCCATGCATGCGGTGACCTATGACCTACACAGAGACGCTGAATGCCACGCGACATGTATACATTCCTCTGGGTCCGGTCATATTTGTCGTACTGTAGTTTTACGACATCAAATTGAAGGCTACCAGTCTCCACGGCTACTGGAAAAATAGTATAGATTGGCCATATAGATTAAGAGATTTGCCATAGGAGTTAGCCGGCCATAAACGTACCGTTTTCAAATCTGTAAAACTGATAATCTGTACTCCAATTTGTATAGACTTACACGTATTAGCACTAGATAACTGTATCCTTGTTATATAACCGATATATTTTGTCTGACCCTTACCTCTTCCCTAGTGACCTCAATGAAAAGCGACCTGCAGGTCGATTTGGTCTTCTCATTAATGAATGGTTCAAACAAATAATGACCAGTCAAGTCCGTTACTAAAATATTCGTCCTATATTAGTGGCCAAATTCTACCGTTTTTCCAGTCTGCATAGCCGCATGCTCACTGAGATACTTTGTGTCCAGTGTGCTATGGGTCTGGCACCCAGGCTATGTCTGCAGACAGTTTGGAAGAAATAACGTGGTCGTGAGAGAGTCGTAAGTGTGACGTGGGAAATTCAGTTGTCTTGTTGTCGTAGATAGTTCTTGTCTTTGCTCCGTTCGCACAGATCCTCTCTAAAAAATAATAATCGTCCGTTGAATTTGACGTGCGCGTGCCTTTTGCATTAACTACATTCTGTAACACCATAGAGACGGCATTCCTTTCAAACGCTTCTGTCACCCAAATATTTGCAACAGACAAACACAACCGTTTCACTGAGAATGACATAGCATTTCTGTGCAATGGGTTATACCATTTGATTGTTTCCTAAGGGGATGTCTATTGGCTGATAAACTTCCCATTTGAGTTTACAGTTTGTATTGCAATGCCATGTATGACTCACTGTTAGGCCATGTTGATTTGATTATATG